ATAAGAAATTATCACTAAGTTAAAAAAGTCTTGAGGAAGGTATAAATCAGAATGGAAAGTCGAACAGAGGAAAAAAAAAACAACATATGGAAGACCGCATCCCCCAATAAAAGCTTGGAATAAAAACAAAAGTGCAACTAGGCAAAGCAATTCTTATAGTTCTTGGGGTGGGAGTGGGTTGAATAATGTTCCTCCAAAAGATATGTCCAAATCTTAATCCCTGGTACCTGTGAATGTAACCTTATTTGGAAATTCGGTCTTTAGAGAGTAATTAAGGATCTTGGGAAAAAATTGCCTTTAGATAATTTTAGTGTGGGCCAGAACGCCAAGACACAGGGAGACACAGAAGAGAACCCTATGTGAAGACAGAGGCAGAGACTGGAGTTATACAAGCCAAAGATTGCCCAGGCCCACCAAAAGGTAGGAGAGGCATGGAAGTAATTATCTCAGCACATCAAGAAGAAACCAACTCTGTTGACACCTTGATTTTGAACTTCTGGCCTCCAGAACTGTAAGAGAACAAATTTCTGTTGTTTCAGGCTACCACTTCGTGGTATTTTGGGAGAGTAGCTCCAGAAACGAATACAGAGTGCATCCTTGCCGTTTCACAGCTCCACGCTTCAAACACATAGTTCACTCTCCTAGAGGGGCTCTTCCCCTTTTTGTTAAGCTGCAACACTTTTCTTCTGTTATAATGACCCTTTGGGAGGTCCTGCCCAGTCTCCCCTCTCTCTAGCAGGACCAATCTTGCTTCTTTGGTGTTACCATCATACCCATATCTCTCACTGCACTCCTCACCTCTAAGACAAAATACTGGTTTTCGTGTTTGTCTCTTGCTTGTTAGCCCTTGAGGCTTGAGATTTCTCAAGCAAGAATACTACCTGATGCAAAGAAAGTCCGTAGCCTGTGTTTGCTGAATAGCTCAGATGACAATAGAAACACCAAAGAGGGAAGGATTAATATTGTCTGGGAGTGGTCATAAAACTGGAAGAGGATATTTTGGGTAGAGGCAATAGCACAAGTAAAGGCATGGAGGAGAAGCATGACCTATTCAGGAATTAGTCATTCACATGGTGGGACTGGAAGGGTGAAGGGGATAGAGGAGAAAGAAGAGCCGAAGAAGTGCAGAAGATGAAGCATGAAAGGCTTTGAATTTTAGGCCAGATCAAAAATATTTTAGTCAGGGAGCGGTGACTTATGCCTGTAATCCCAGCACTTTGGGAGACAAAGGCGGGAGAACTGCTTGAGCCCAGGAGTTTGAGACCAGCCTGGCCAACATGGTGAAACCCTGTCTCTACTGAAAATACAAAAAATTAGCCGGGTGTGGTGGCACACACCTGTAGTCCCAGCTACTCGGGAGCTGGGACCACAGGCGTGTGCCACCACACCCGGCTAATTTTAGTTTTTGGAGATACAAGATCTCACTAATTTGCACAGGCTAGTCTCAAACTCCTGGACTAAAGCAAATCTTTCCATCTTGGCCTCCCCAAATGCTGGAATTACAGGGGTGAGCCACCGTGCCTGGCCAATCTTTTTTTTTTTTTTTTTTTTACTTTTAGTAGCAATGAGATCTTGCTGTGTTGCCAGGTTGGTGTCCAACTCTTGAGCTCAAGTATCCTCCTGCTTCAGCCTCCCAAAATGTTGTGATTACAGGTGTGAGCCACTGTGCTCAGCCCCAAGTACCTTTTTGTAGGAAGAACTGCTGAGATTATGGCTTTAGCAAATGACACTGGTGTTTCATTCATATCTCCAACCCTCTGTCAGGGGGCTGCCTAAACCCAATTTATCTGGCTTAAACAATGACTAACTAAAAAAAAAAAAAAAAAAAAAAGATACACACACTACAGATCTAAAAATACAAAAATTGGCCGGGCGTAGTGGCATGCACCTGTAGTCCCAGTTACTTGGGAGGCTGAGGCAGAAGAACTGCTTGAACCTGGGAGGTGGAAGTTGCAGTGAGCTGAGACCATGCCATTGCACTCCAGCCTGGGTGACAGAGTGAGACTCCATCTCAAACAAACAAACAAAAAAGTAACATACATTAAATGAACAGAAAAACTTCTGGCTCAAATCACACACCAGTCAGCTTCATCCTGTGATTTACTGCATGGCACTGTGTAATAAATCACCAAAATATTGGTGCTTCTTTGAAATGCAAAGTCCAACTGTAAGATCTAAGGGACTATGTTGGATTTGGATCCTGGTGAGGGATCCTACAGCCTAATGACATTCTGACCCAATTAAATGTCCCATCAGATTACTCTCCAACTCTTTCCTCCTCTCACTAGCTGAATCCTTTTGTTCTCACACCACAGTTCAGTTCAGTTTATCTTGCCAGGGCTCATGCCATAGCCTGGCACTCTAGCATTTGTTTCCACGATTCCTAAACTATTAATTTCCCTCAGCTGGCTGAGTCTCCAGTGGCCCGGATCCTCCACAAAGTGGTCCAGACTGTAGACCTTTATGCCATGGAACCAGTGTTCCTTATTTCACATGAATGGCCATGTCCAACCAATCTCGCAAACACTGGCAATACGATGAAATGCAAAGCCTTGTAAGACAAGGGCACATCCTGTTAGATGTGGGAAGGCAACATGAACTCTCTCCCGAGCGAACAGAATTCCTTTTGAGAAACAGGTTGGGGTTTCAACTAGGGTTTCTCAACCCCAGCACTATTGACATTTTGGGCCAGATTAATTGTGGGAAGCTAGTCTGTGCATTGGAGGATATTTAGCAACATCTCTGGCTTCTACTCACTAGATGCCAGCAGCATCCTCTTTTTGTTGTGAAAGCAAAGCATGATAAGACCAGGGGATCAGGATGACTATAAATAAATGAAAGCCTCCCTTATTTTGTATGTAATGTTTTGTTGGCAGAAGAATTTTCAGTTGTTTTCTATGAGAAGCTTCTCTTCACATCTTTTAAAAACAGATTTTCCCTATATTGCTAATCCTGTCTCTCCTTACACGAACATATCCACACTAATCTTTTCACTGCAGCACTAATGAATAATGTTTCTTTGCTGCCCATCAGAGTGGCAAAGAGAAAAGGGAATGGCAATATTCCATGTGATTGTGGGAAGGGGGAGATGAATACTCACAAACTGCCAGGGACATATAAATGATTGGGGAAAAATCTGACTTGGGAATATAATTTGGCATCATGTATTAAAACTTTCATGAAATATATGTAAGCTTTCTGACCCTAGATTACATTTTACCACAATTGAATAAATGGAGAAGATATTATGTAGAAGAATTTTTCAAAAATAATAAAAATTAGAAACAAAATGTTCAACAGGGAGCTGATTACATCATGGCACAGCCATAAAATAGAAATTCACGCAAAAATGCAGACATGTATTTGTTCCCAATGTAAGTGAAAAAACAGGTTACAAAACAGTGTATATATAGGTATAGAAAAAAGTCTGAAGAAATAGACACTAATAATTTTAACTACATTTTTGAGTGAAAGAATCACATATGATTTGTCTTTAACATTTTCCCCCCTTAAAATGATTAATCTTTGTATAACAGAAAAATAAAGAGCCACTAATAAGTACTGCAAACAGCAAGGTCCATGAAAGCAAGACTTTCCACGGAGAAAATGGGAGACTGGTTTCCCTGCTCTACTCTGAGAACACCAAACACAAACCAAGGTAGAACCCAAGATAGAAGCCACTCAAGCTGCTTCAAGTCAAAGTTGGGCCAGAGGTAAGATGTTTAGAATCTTCTCAATCCTACCAACTATACAGATCTTTACTGTTTTGGACATTTGCTTTTCTTCTCTTGTACTTATCCATGTAAAATCTTATTTGATTAATGGTTGAATCTATACATATTTTAAACTTCCCATTATTATATGAAGAGTCTATATGTTAATAAACTGACTGGCTGACTCACCTTAACTGAACATTTGGTGCAAGAGCTGGGGGCAAGGGAAATGGAGAGGAAATGAAGCAGAGGCTCCTCCATGTTTCTGTTCTTCTCTTACCAGGAAATGAAGACTGTATCATCATGCCCACAGGTGAAGTAGCTCAGCATCCTTTCCTATCTGCATGTAAATGCATGGACCCAATGGGTAAATTATACCCTAGAACAAAATGTTTGTCTCTAAGTTTTGGGAAAAAATAAGACAATGTGCAGAGACAAACAGAAAAAAAAAAAAGTGCTTCCTTTCTCTCCTTCCCCAAACAATCTGCTATATATGCAAGAACCTAAAATAGTAATCCTATTTCTGCCCTGAAAGGAGATGCCTTTGGATCAGAAGGGGCTACTTGTTATACCATATGAGTAATAAGCCAAGTTTGCCTCAAGTCCTACTGGAGAATAATGCCAATTATCTCACGGTTTTCCACTTTTATAAAATCTTTTTTTATGGCTGCCACTTTGAGCAAGTTGTTAAAAAACCCTGGTTGCTTACTTTAGGGTGAAAACAACTCTAGCTATTAGGAAGCTATGCACCAACATATAATAAAGTTAGCTGAAATCTACGCAGCAACAAGGAAAGTGGTAAACTCTCTGATCATATAATTTGCACTAATGCTGATTTGAGAGGACAGAATTCTTACTTCCTCTCAGAAAGATGAGAGATGATTCTGCCAGAAATACAGGAATCTGCATACTTCCCAAAGAGTAAAATACAAATTTAAGAATGTGACATTATAAAACTGTCCTATTTAATTGATTTCATACCATTTTATTCTGGCAGAGAGCTTGCACTTGGGCAAAAATGGCATTTTTGACTCCAGTCTATAGGGATTTTATAACTTTATCCACCTGCCCAACACAACTATGCCGAGGCTGGGAGTGATGGCTCATGCCTGTAATCCCAGCACTTTGGGAGGCCAAGGAAAGAGGATCACTTGAGCTCAGGAGACCAGTCTGGACAACACAGTGAGACCTTGTCTGTACAACAAACAAATAAACAAACAAAACAAACATAACTATGCTCTTTGTCACTCAAACTCTCATTGTCTTTTTACATAATAAACACAGGTATTTACTCTCAGATATTTTATTTTTCTTATTCTGACATTAGGCTATGAGAAGTACAAAAGATTCACAAGTACAAAAAAATCTGTATAGCTTTGTGGTAGTTCAAAAAAATGCAAGAGAACAAAACAATTTTTGAGTAATATTCATCTCTACAGATCTGAGTGACAGTACGCTTGAAACACTGCTGTAAAAGTGGTAAAAAATGATTTCATTGTGATTATGTTAAAATTTTTGATGTCTCTTTCACTTGTTTAGGAAATTTGTCTTCTGACATTTATGTTGGATAGATTCTTTACCTGTATTTTGCTGAAGCTCAATTCCCTGCCTCTTCAGGGCTTCAATGATGACACTTTTGTTTTTATAGTCAGCTAGTGATGCTTTGTCCAAAGGAAGATTCTGACAACAGCTTCAGTGGCAAGAAAATCTGGATATAGATTTATAGTTATTGTCCTTTCCAATGTAAAAAAAAAAAAAAGTTGAAAAATGTTGATGACTTTTTCTTAGTGTTAATTTCTCTTCCTGCAAGGATTTAATTTCATACTCATGTTGAGGATGAATTACTTTTGATGCGGTTTTTTTTTTTCCCCCAAGTATTTTTAAAAAGCTTTCTTGAAAAGATGAATTCTTCTACCTGTCCCTAGGATTTTGAGTAAAGATGACATATTGCAATAGGATAAGTCCAGGTTTATCTTTGTACTTTCTTACCTAATATCCTGTTGGACACAGAGAATTGAGATCTCCATGGATGTTCAGTAACTCTAGGAATGGCTGAAATTAAAAAAACAAAACCAAAAACTCACTTTATTTAATCATAGATAATAAACACAATGCCAGAAGGTTATAGACACAAAGGCCAAATGAACAATGAAAAGCCACATCAGAGGCTGCCTGACAGCTTAAGACTTTTTTTTCCTCTGCTTAATGAGAAATAAATTATCATTGTCATCATCTTCCAAACACCTCTCCTTTTTCTTCTGCTTGCCCCTCTTGCCCTCCTTGGGAGACTTGTCTTCTCTTGACATATGGTAATGCGATGAACGGTGAAAGAGCTTAGAAGGCTTCTGGGTTTTAAAACTGCCAGTAGAAGAGTAGGGTTTGGGACCCCTGGGAAAATCCTCATCCACTTCACGATGTCTGTCAGCCCTCCTGTGCTTCTCCCAGTTTCTATTCTTGTTCTTCATCTCTTTTTGTGTTTCTTTATTTTCTTGAGGCCACCTGTTGCTTTTCCACGAGGCACGGCCCTTCCTTATATCATGGTGGGGGTTCTCATTTGCTGCTTTTAGATAAGGTAGCTTCGATGGCTCTGGGATAACCCCATTTTTCTTGAGTACTGAAAAATATAAAAGTATTTTTGCATATTCAGCAGCTAAACAGTCCATGCTGAGCTTTCCTAAGTGTAAATAACTTAACAGACAGGACAGGGAAGTTAGACATTTAAACATGTTAACAATATGACATCACTCACTAAAAATTAAATTTCTAAATTTCTGATTGCTAAAAATGAAACACATTCACAAATCCAATGATAGTTAATTATCCTTTTCAACAGTTTAACAAGGTTAAGCAATGGAGACGAGGACCAGTAAGAACAGTAATCATCATGGCTTTGTGAAGAAAAGTCATGTCTGACCAATACAAGTTTCCCCAATGATGAAGACTCAGCCTTTGAAAATAAGGCAAAGCAAGATTTATAAAACGGCCTTTTGATGGTCTCATATGACATTTCAATTACCCTCTAAAGATAAGGCCTGGCCACAGTACTTTTAGGTGGATGTCAAACTGCCCAAGAGATTATTCCTCCAGGGTAGAGATCACTGGCTTTGAGGAGTGTGTGCGAGTGCACATGTGTGCAAGTATCTTAGAGGTGTTAGTGATAAAGCTGATGTTATGTTTTGTCAGGGCTTGACACACTTAATACGTGTCTCTGAGGGTAGTGATTCTGATACGGGTAGGTGGGAGATGAGGTTACAGTGAGAGATGAAAACTAGCAAGTCAACAGAATCTTTAAAGATTAAAAAAGTGGCCAATAAAAACTTTCAGCATAGACGTTTATTATAAAAATTTCAATGGATCATAGTGAACACCTCAAAGTGGATTCAGGCTACAGATGTCGATACGACTAGCTAAAACAAAAAAACAAAATTATTTTTCTCTGATTATAAAAGTCATAACTGCTCATTATAGAAAACTTAGAAAAAACAGAAAAGTATAAAGAACATAAAAAAACAGAAAGCACACATAATCCTTTAATCTAGAGATAACATTTTCATGCAATTCTTTTTAATCCCTTTCTAATTTGGTTGCCTAATCATCATCTACAACTACTATAACTTCTACATACAGTTGACCCTTGCGCAATGAGTTTGAACTATATGGGTCCACTTAAATGTGGATTTTTTCAACCAAATGAGGACTGAAAATACACCATTCCACAGATTAGAAACTTGTGTATATGAACGGCTACTTTTTCCTATACTCAGGTTCTGCAGAGTCAACTACGGGACATAAGTATGTGCAGATTTTGGTAAATGAGGAGGTTCCTGGAACCAATATCCAGGGATAGCTATAGATGACATACATTTTATCTTAAATATGTAAAATATGCAGGAGCTGGGAGAGTAATATCTCTACTTTCCTCAGAATTAGTACCTTCATTTTGGAAAAGTCTTGAACTAAGAGTCCAAAAAAGAAAAAGGCCAAAAGAGTCAGAAAATAAGGTATAGAACAAACTAAAAAATACAAAACTGTTTTGTTTTTAAAGCAAGAAAGATAACTTGGAAAACCACCTTGGAGTAACAAGAAATAACAGAGGTAGAGAAAACTTAAATGATAAGATATTAATTTGGTGATAAAGAACCATGTGTGAAAGAGTAAATACAGAAACCATAGAGGTGGTTGTGAACTTGGAGCTCTGCTTGCAGTGGTGGCCTATAAGAAATGACTTTTTCAGGGAAGCTCCAGGAACAAGTTAGCAGGAAAGCCTTTCCTTCCATAAAAAATACTGGAGAAATACAAATGGAAAAAAAAAATTACTTGTCAAACAGAAAAAAATCTCAAAGGAGCCTTTAAAAACTGCCTACACAAATGGATAGCAATATTTTCTGGACATTTCCTAAAATGATCACTGTAAAAAAAATTATTGTGATGAGACTGCAACATGGGATTATTTCTGAAGTGGGTGTTTGGTTTTTGGAGATCAAGAAAGTTCCAGTTTCTTTGGTAATTATTAAAAATACTTTCTATGCTAACCAATGACCCCCAAAGCAGGCAAAGACAGTACAAACACAGAAATTTAGAAACTACTGCAAACGTGATCTAACAAGAAGTCTAGCAACATACCTTTTATTTTTTGTTTTAGTCTCTTCTCTCTCTCCTGAATTTCGTATTTGTCATCATAGTAGCAGATGAATGGCGATACTGGAGATGGGTCATACACTTCTCTTTCTGGACATTCCTACAAATTGTATTTAAAATTATGATGTCACATGGTCACACTGTTCAAAAACCTTTTTGCAAGAGTCTGTAGGATGTTAATTAGAATGAGCCACATATCACTGGTACCTCATGTGGTGGCAGTAGGACATGGTCCTTGCTGGGGTGCTGGGAGGGTCACCCAGCCCTAAACCACACTGTGTTATGATATTCTTTCAAGCTTGAGTTTTCTTCCCTTACTTCTTTACCTATGAAACCCTTCATATCTTTTTTCAGCCTTCTCTGCCTAACTCCTTTCACAGTCTGAGGTAGCAGCCTTGCCCCTCTGTTGGTGGGTTTATGTTATTTGGCCTCATGTTAGTATTACTCCTTTGCTTGTCCATCACTTCCAAAAGGAAGCTTATTTTAACTCAACATTCACTGCTTATAGGGGTAGTGATTCTTATGCTGGGGGGTAGGTTGGTGGTAGGTTATGCCTAGTTTAAAACTGTTCCTAGGTCATTGTGAGACACCCCAAAAGAAGTTTCTCTTCTTGCTTCCCCCACCCAAGTTGAAATCCCTACTCTTACTCATTTTCCCAGGACAGCTTCCTACTCTCATGACTCTGGCCTCCACACAGCTAGTATTTCCCAAATCCACAGTCTTTGGCCTGAACCACTCACCACATAGCAGGCTTTTGTTTATCATGATCTGTGACACATATCCATTCAGCATGTTTGAAATCTTTTCTTTTGGAACTTTCCCCTTTCTGCCTCTGCCATCTTGCCTAAAAGTTACTTTAAAATGTTGTTTCTTAGCTAAGTAATGAAAAACAATTAGAATATATTTTAAAGAGTAAGTGAAAAATCCACATAAAATTGAGCCAAGTCTGAACTAGCCAAGCTAGCAGCCAAACATTTAGGTACTTAATTTGTAGTTAAAAAATTATAAATCACTCCAAACACACACTTAAGTATAAAAAATAATTAAAAACCTCTATTCATCCTTATATAAAACCATAACATTTTACCTTAGTTGCCTTGTTTTCCCCCCAAGAATAAAATATTACTGATATAACTGAAATCCTCTGTGTAAGTCCTTCCCATTTTGCGCTCATCTCCTTCCCTTTCCAGAAGTTACCACTGTCATCAAGTTGAAGTCGGCCATTCTCATGTGTTTTTATACTCTTACTGACGAATATTCCAGTGAAAAATGACATAAGTTTTAAGCTTCAGACTTCATAATTTTTATTTGTTTTCTGTAGAGGCAAGGTCTCACATTATGTTACCCAGGCTGGTCTCAAACTGGCAGCCTCAAGAGGTCCTTCCAACTTGGCCTCCCAAAGTGCTAAGATTACAGGTGTGAGCCATAGCGCCTGGCCTTATTCAATTTCTTTAATGGTATTGGTTCAGTTGATTTGTTCTTCCTGAGTCAGTTTGGTAAATTTACATATATATTTTGGAGTTAGTTGCACTTTCAGATTTAACTTTATGAAGTACTGTCTTATAATTTAAAAACATTTATATAGTATCTTAAGTTACTTACACTTTCCACTCATTGTTTATTAGTACCTTTTCTTTTTCTTTTAGTAGTTTTCCCAGAAGTTTTTGTTGTTTTGAAAAAAAGAGTTTTCAAATAATCAGCTTTTGGTTTTGTTGATGCTGTTCACTTTTCTATTTCAATAAGTTTGGTTCTAATCATTATCATTTCCATCCTTCTGCTATCTTCAGATTTATCTGTTGTGACTATCTGGATTATTCAGTTTTTTTTTGTTGTTGTTATTGTGGGGAGAGTCCTGGAGATTATATGACAAACTTATATGGTAATGTAAAGAAATGCTTTTGGCTGGGCATGGTGGCTTACGCCTGTAATCCCAGCACTTTGGGAGGCGGAGGCAGGTGGATCACCTGAGGTCAAGAGTTCGAGACCAGCCTGGCCAACATGGTGAAACCCCATCTCTACTAAAAATACAAAAAAAAAAAAAAAAATTAGCCAGGCATGGTGGCACATGCCTGTAATCCCAGCTACTTGGGAGGTTGAAGTAGGAGAATAGCATGAACCCGGGAGGCAGAGGCTGCAGTGAGCCAACATTGCACCACTGCACTCCAGCCTGGGCAACAATGGCGAAACTCTGTCTCAAAAAAAAAAAAAAAAAAAAAAAGCAAATTGTGATTATGCAAAGGTAACAGAGGTCCTGATACACTCAACTAATACTCATTTCAGCAGAATCTTTAACTCTCCCAGTACCTGTTCACCCTTTCACACTCTCCTGGAGTAATCTTTGTATAGTGACTACTATTGTCCTTGCTTCCCCCAGCTAGAGAGTGAGTGAAATTAGGGAAGGGCAATGTCATATTCACCTTAGATCTAGTCTTTCACATGAGGAATGCATTCAATAATAATATCTGTAAGGCTGGATTTCTGGACATTGAAAGGGAGGAGGTCCACAAACATCTTTAACCACCTGCATAATTCCCCATTTAGGTCTTGTATGGTCTAGACTGATGTGACTACACAGAGCTATATCATACTACAAATGTTTTCCAAAGCTAAATGTAAATTATATTTTGATTATCCACATCGCTGGTCCCCTCCATTAGCACAGACAATTGATAGTTGGCTATATAATTTATCTACTATTCTGGATTAGCCACACCAATGATCTTCTTCATTAGTGTAAATAATCTAGAGTTCCTCATCTATGGCAGTCATGAGGCTGCCAAATTTGCTTTATTGCAAATTAAAAATTATCTAAATCTAGATTTTAGGGATAAATTCCATATGCTTTTAATATATTTCCTATCTGCCTTAACAGAAGTGACTAGTAAGCATCCAACTATAATTGTTTTTCTTTAATTGAACAAACATAAATGCTAAAATTATACCCCTCTGCTTTAAAGAGGTAAGCAAGCATAAATTGTATATCTATGTGATTTGTGCGGTAATGGAAAGCTTATGTAAATATGTTCCCTAAAGGTGTCGACAACATCTGAATGTTTAGTAATGAGGAATGGACAGAGCAGTAAAAGATCTAGAGATGATAATTCTGTAAAAGAAGCCTTCTCGGCTGGGTATGGTACCTCACTTCTGTAATCTCAACACTTTGGGAGGCCAAGGAGGGAGGATTGCTCTGAGGCCAGGAGTTTGAGACCAGCCTGGGCATCATAGTGAGACCTTGTCTCTACAAAAAATAAACAAAATTAGCTGGGCACAGTGGCGTGTGCCTGTAATCCCAGCTACTGGAGAGGCTGAGGTGGGAGGATCACTTGAGCCTGCGAGGTCAAAGCTGCAGTGAGCTGAGATATGCCCACTGCACTCAGAGCCCTGTCTCAAAAAAAGTCTTCTCTACTTTGTGCTGAGAGATTTCCTGTACAACTTCTCCGCTTTGGAGATAAAGAAATGGGACCAAAGAGAAAAAGTGGGTTGTTTATGTCACATGGTTGAGTCCGTAGCAGAGCAAAACTGGATCTGAGGCTCAGAGCTCATCCTGGCTTTCATAAGCTATGTCTCATCCCCACAGGTGCTGCTGCCCCAGTATGGAAGATAAAATTTATCTGTTTATGGATTCTGTTCAGCACTTTTCTTCTCCAGCTGCCCTACAATGTAGGGCTCCAGTTCCCAAGATCCACATCAGTGATGTGTCATAGTTGGAATTCAAGTGGTAACCTGCAATATCACCCACCCCATCCCATTGCTCATACTTCTCATTTTGGGGATTCCCAACACTCTGCATGCTTTCTGCTTCCTGATACCAGATCTGGTTTGATATTAGTTTATCTTGGTTTCTAGGCTACTAGAAGCCTACCTGGAGACTGGGAATAATACATTCCTTTCTAAGAATTTTCTACTTTCTGTGCCACTGCCTTTCCTCCACTGCCTCAAGATTCCTAGAAGTATGGGCTCTGAGCCTATTCTTATTACATCCTTTCTCTGAAATGAGCTGCTGCTGTTTCATACTTAATGTGGCATTTGCCTAGTGGCATCATGCCAAGTTCTCAACGAGAAGCTTCTTCTGCTTTGACGTTTCAGCATCTAGAACACACACAGTTTGACCTTTTCAGTTGGGGTTAGGGAATATGTTCGCTGGATAGGGAATCTGGGCATCTGTGGGGTAGGTGGGCAAGTCAATGATGCAGCATCTGTTTTTTCACCACTGAATGCCAGGGTTTACATGTATGGGATGTAGACTTAACTGAACATTGTACCAGGGAAAACTGGAGAACTAAGTAGAAAATCTAAAATCAGGCCAGGCACGGTGGCTCACACCTGTAATCCCAATAGTTTGGGAGGCCGAGGCGGGTGGATCATCTGAGGCCAGGAGTTCGAGACCAGCTTGGCTAACATGGTGAAACCTCATTTCTACTAAAAAATATATAAAAAATTAGCTGGGCATGGTGGCGTACACCTATAATCCCAGCCACTCGGGAGGCTGAGGCAGAAGAATTGCTTGAACCTAGGAGATGGAAGTTACAGTGAGCCGAGATCACACCATTGCACTCCAGCTTGGGCAACAAGAGCAAAACTCCGTCTCAAACAAAAAACAAAAAACAAACAACAACAACAGCAACAAAAAAACACAATGAAAATCTAAAATCAGTCAGGCGTGGTGGCTCACGCCTGTAATCCCAGCACTTTGGGAGGACAAGGCAGGTGGATCACCTGAGGTCAAGAGTTCAAGACCAGCCTGACCAATATGGTAAAAACCCGTCTCTACTAAAAATACAAAATTAGCTGGATGTGGTGGCAGGTGTCTGTAATCCCAGCTACTTGGGAGGCTGAGGCTTGAACCTGAGAGGAGGTGGCAGTGAGCTGAGATTGCACCACTGCACTCCAGCCTGGGAAACAGCAAGACTCTGTCTCAAAAAAAAAAAAAAAAAAAAAAGAAAAAAAGAAAATCTAAAATCATGCTATGGCTGTGTCAAAACAATTGTGTTTATAAGAAATCAAGAGAACTGCTATCATACTGTTGACTATCATATTTGTCTGATTGATTTTATCAGCTCTATTAGTTTTATCCCAACTTGTTCATGTACATGTAAGATAATTAGAGGAATACGCTCTGATAGCTTGTTACTCTAGCAGGGAGGAAAGGGATAAATCAGTTGAAAATATAGTAAGTCTTACTTTAATGTTTATTAAAAAGTAAGTAGTTAGAGTTACATTCTTTTTGAGTTCATCTTTTAGAAAACACTCCCTGACAACAGAATGCTTTATGCTCAAATGTCATTCAAACTTACGTGTCCATAATGGCCTTTTTGCGCGCAGTGATAGCAATATGCTAAGGCTGATGGTCTTGAAGGGGTCTTCGGCTTTTTGGGTGGTCCAGGTTTGGTCTGTAACATGAATATTTGTGAGGGTTTGTTGATGTTAGAAGAAAATTAAAACCTCGTTCTTTCCAAAAGACTTTATAGGTAAGGGATTCCTTAGAAGTTTCTTAGAATTTGGTATGGAGACCTGTATTCAGGCAATTCCATATATTAAAGTATATAACATGGTAAGAACAATTCTTTTATTCTTAATGTCAATGTGTGCTTTCCTCTCCTTCCTCCCTCCTCATTCCATTCAGCACTGTGCCAAGTACTGTGTTCAGTATTCAACACAGTATAATGGGCCAGTAGAACATAAGAGGCATACACATAATTACAAAACAATGTCAATACGGTGACAGTAGTATGTACAAGGCAATAATGGAGTGGTGAAGGGGGACTCCCCTACCAGCGGATGGGGTTAAAGAGGGGTCAGAGAAAGTTTCCCTGAAGGTGTAAAACTTACATTTACTCTCAAATGAGGTGTAAATCAAACGGAGAATCTTAGGCAGAGGGAGCAGAATAAACAATGACATAGAACTAAAAAAGAGCACACATGCTGCCAAAATATGACATACATAGCCAGGTGTAAATGGAAGACAAGGCTGGAGAAAGCAGGGCACAAGAATGGAGGGCCTTGTAAGTAAAGGAGCAGGAGCTTTACCCAGTTTTAAGTGTTGAAGTTAGGACAGTTAGAGTTGTGGTTTGGGCCAGGCACGGTGGCTCACACCTGTAATCCTAGCACTTTGGGAGGCTGAGGTGGGCGGATCACGAGGTCAGGAGTTCAAGACCAGACTGGCTAGCATGGTGAAACCCCGTTTCTACTAAAAACACAAAAATTAGCTGGGCATGGTGGTGTGCACCTGTAGTCCTAGCTACTCCAGAGGCTGAGGCAGGAGAATCACTTGAACCTGCGAGTCGGAAGTTGCAATGAACCAATATCGTACCAATGCACTCCAGCCTGAGTGACAAAGCGAGATTCCATGTCAAAAAAGGAAAAGAAAGAAAGAAAAAAAGAAAGAAGGAAAGAGAAAGAAAGAAAGAAAGGAAGAGAGAAAGAAAGAAAGAAAGAAAGAAAGAAAGAAAGAAAGAAAGAAAGAAAGAAAGAAAGAAAGAAAACTGGTATCGCTTGGTCATTGAAAAGATGTGGGGAATGAGGGAAAGGAAAAATCAGGATGCCTCCATATTTTGAACTTGGGTGAGCAATGACTGATTCAGAAAAAGTAGAAAAAGACAGAGGAGCAAGTTTAGAGGGACAGTTGATGAAGACAGTCTTGGATATGGAGTATCCAGGTGGGGATCTTCAGGAGGCAGTTTCTATGTAGAGACAGAAGAGTCTGAGCTGGAGAGTAGATCTGAAAGTAATCAGCATAAGAGTGAAGGCTGAAATCACTAGAGTGGACAGGATCACCATGGAGAGTGTAAGAGTGGCTGTGGGCTGAGGAAGGAACCTGAAGACATCAATGCTTAAGGGGCGGGCAGAGGAGCCTGTGAAATGGACCTAGAAGGGAAGGTTAAAGGATGCAGAGACATAGGAGAATATAGTAACAGACCTTAGAGAGTTGTTTCAAGAAGGATGAACTGATCTATAATGTCAAATATAGCAGAGAGGCCTAGTGAGATTAGGACTGAGAAACACCCATTCAAAGTGGCAACTGCTCAGATAACCTTACTATGAAAATTCTGAGATATTCTAGAAAGAGTAAAAGGCAGCAGGATGAACAGTAAAGTGATGCATACAAAGGTGGTAAAATGATAAAAAGAGCAAAGAAATCATTACTCATAAAAGCCAGGATCTGTGAACTTAACCTGGAATTTTTTTTTTCTTTAAAGCCAGGTTACTTCCAGTGAGCAGAAACAGCACACAGGATTTTGGCATAGCTGCAATTTTCTGTTACTTCAACATGGCAATAGTTAACTTGTGTGTGTACTACATAACTAATTTATTCTTTTGCACATGTATTTTACATACTTTTCAGTATGTATATTAGATTGGTGCAAAGGTAACTGTAATGGCAGTTTCTGCCATTTAATAGCAAGAACCTCCTTTGCACCAACCTATTATTTCAGAATAAAAAATGTTTTAAAAAATTGAATGGAAGTTGTAGGAGAGAGAAGTTATATATTGAGAAGGATCAAGGGGCAGAGTAAGATGAAGCAGTACCCAGGAAGGGGATTTGGTGGAGTCTGTTTATAGAATGGGAAAGACTTGAACATCTGGGAAAGACAGTGGAGATGGAGAAGTTGAAACCAAAGGAGGAAAGCAGATGATGGACACAGACCTCTGAGGAGGTGGTGACTGTAAACAGGAGGAGAAAAACCTAGTCCCTGCACACCCCCATGCTTTGGGGAGACTGGAAGAAAAGTTAAGGATCGGCTTAAATGTGGATCACTTTATTTCTTAGGTTGTTTATTGAGAGTCCTTAACAAAGAGTGCTAGTCTGCCAACTAATTGGTTTTTTTTTTTTGGACTCTGTTGCCCAAGCTGGAGTACAGAGGCACAATCATGGCTCACTGCAGCCTCGACCTCCCAGGCTCAAGCAATTCTCCCAGTTCAGCCTCCCAGGTAGCTGAGACCACAGGGGTGCACCACTATGCCTGGCTACTTTAATTTTTATATATATATATATATTTTAAATTTTTGGTAGAGACAGGGTCTCGCTATGTTGCCCAGGCTGGTCTGGAACTCCTGGGGTCAAGGGATCCTTTCACGTTGGCCTCCTAAAGTGCTGAGACTGCAGGCATTAGCCACCACGGCCAGCCCTAATTTTGTTTTTTCTTTGAGATAGCGCCTTGCTCTGTCACTCAGCCTGGAGTGCAGCGGCACAATCTCAGCTCACTGCAACTCCACCTCCTGGGCTCGAGCAATCCTTGAGTTTCAGCCTCCTGAGTAGCTGGGACCATAGGTGCATGCCACCACGCCCAGCTAATTTTTGTATTTTTAGTAGAGATGGGGATTTGCCATGTTGCCTAGGCTGGTCTCAAACTCCTGGGCTCAAGTGAATTGCTTGCCTTGGCATCCCAAAGTACTGGGATTATAGGCGTGAGACAACATGCCCAGGCCCCCTAATTTTGTTTTTAATGTTGCAAACAGGTGGTTTGTAAAGGTTTTATTTCCTTGATATAGGAAAATGATAAATAGGTTATAAAAATATTCTTCAGGTCGGGCACGGTGGCTCATGCCTATAATCCCAGCACTTTGGGAGGCCAAGGTGAGTGGATCATCTGAGGTCGGGAGTTTGAGACCAGCCTGACCAACATGGAGAAACTCCATCTCTACTAAAAATAAAAAAAAATTAGCCCGGCGTGGTGGCGCATGCCTGTAATCCCAGCTACTCGGGAGGCTGAGGCAGAAGAATCGCTTGAACCCGGGAGGCGGAGGTTGCAGTGAGCCGAGATTGCGCCATTGCACTCTAGCCTGGGCAACAAGAGCGAAACTCCATTGCAAAAAACAAAAACAAAACCCAAACCCAAACCAAACTAAACCAAAACAAAAAAAAACTACTTCAAACAACTTTACTTTCAGCTCTTATTCCCTAAAATGAGAAACTGTAGCAAAACAATAACCTCAACTATCTTTTCTACTGAAAACAATAAATGAAAGCTACACAAAATGGAATTTACAACCTCAGGTATTATCAACTGGGATATAATAAAAATAACAAGGGTTTTATATTCTGCAATTAAAAATGGGGTTCATAAATTAAGACTAGCTAAAAGTCATTAAACAGAGTTTGGTTTTTTTTTTTTTTTTTTTTTTTGAGATGGAGTCATGCTCTGTCATTCAGGCTGTAGCACAGTGGCACGATCTCGGCGTACTGCAACCTCACCCTCCTGGGTTCAAGTGATTCTCCTGCCCCAGCCTTCAGAGTAGCTGGGATTATAGGCACATGCCAGCACACCTGGCTAATTTTTGTATTTTTAGTAGAGATGGGTTTTTGCCATGTTGGCCAGGCTGGTCTTGAGCTCCTGACCTCAACTGATCCACCTACCTCAGCCTCCCAAAATGCTGGGATTACAGGCGTAAGCCACCGCGCCTGGCCTAAACAGAGTTTTAACAGGTATGCATATAAGCCGTGTATCACTTATTGCAGTGGTTCACAAATTTCTTCACATAGAACACTGTGAAGACATGAAATTATTAAGCAGAAATGATTTTCCACCCACAAAGATAGCTATATATTATTTGATGTGACATCAAATTGCAGCCACAAGCATACATGGCTTAAGAGAAATAAAAACAAAAGAGATGGTGTCATAGATGTGAAGGTAGAATGGATGTTTCAAGGAAGAAACCATTAAAAGCTACTGATGGGTTATACAAGATGGAGACTATGAAATCCACTGGACTTAGTAAACAGGAAGTTGTTGGCAAATGGAGAAACTATTGTGAGTAGTTTCTTTTGAGGGGTAGAGGTACAAGCCAGATTGTAATGGATTTATTATAAGTAGAAAGCTGCTGAAGAACAGAACATAGATGACCTTTCCAAGAAATGAGACTCTGTATCCAAGAAGGGAAGGGGACAAGTAGAGCAGAATACAAGTCGAAGGATGCCTCCATCAGTGAGATTTACCAGAGTGCTGGGCCCATGGCATGAGTGTATGCATGCATTGCTTCATTAATTTGTTCAAAAAATAATTATTGAGTGCCTAATACATGCCAGACATTGTTCTAAAATCAGGTAACTGAGAAGTGAGCAAGATAAAAATCATTGCTCACCTCTCTAGTACTGGAAGATAAACAGAGTCAATAATACACAAACATACAAAATATTAGCGAAAAATAGTATGCAAACAATTAAAATAGTTATGTGAATGAGAATCACTAGTGGTGACTTAGATTGACTTTTTTGGGGAAGCCTCAACCAGGATGGTCCTTTCTTATAACAAGAAAATCCAGGTATGTGATGCCTGGGGAAACACCACTCTTGGCGTAAGGCATGGGGAACGAGTAGTACAAAGCCCTAAGGTAGGAACAAACTTACCATATTTGAGGATCTGAAAAAAATACCGGTAAATTTGGAAGT